CATAGATCCCAAGTCTGTTATTTTACCAATCAGCATCTGGAACTTTTTAAAGGTACGAGTAGTGCAACTAGGATTAAGCTTCTAGGGGGCACCTGGGGGTTCACCAATTTTTTAAGGGGGGAACTAAAGGTAACATTCTAAAGGTACCAGAGGCGTAAGTAGGGTTGGAAGGTTTTTGTAAGTAAAAGTATAATGTTATTTTTCATTGGCTTTTGTTTTTTCAAAGACTTAAGAATAGTACTTTCTATTAAAAAGGTGGATACAATGAAAATGGAATGCCATCGGCGATTTCTTGTGTGGAAAAGGTCAAGACACACTCAGATTTACAGTATTTTAGGGGGAACACTGGGGTATTGAAAACATCTCAATAGTAAACTGTTTATATTGTGTATGATTGGCCCAATAGATTATAGCAGGCAGCTATTGAAAACGTACATTTGTACATGTACAAACTCAACTACCCAGAATGTAATCAAGTTGTGCGGTTCTTCTAATACGTTGTAGATTAAATGAGATTAAAAACATTGTTAATTTGTGAAATAAATGAATAAGTACAAGTCAAAGGCAGATTGCATAAACATAGGTCATTTTTTTCATATTTCAGGTTTCTTTATACATGTTTTGGAAAATATGCAAACAGATTTACAATTTTTTTCTGTTGAACACGTCAACATCACATCCTTAGCATCACGTAACATATCGTTACAGCCCATGTGACACAGCCCGTTTTTTGCTAACATAATTAATAACATAAAAGCATAATAGATTGTGTTTTGGTTTTACTAGATGTACATGACAAGGGGTTTAAGAACCAATATAGAAGGCGCCTGCTGAATGGTCTCGAGGTCAATTAGACGCAGTCTTGTTTTGCAGAATAATCATCGAATCTCTCGGATATCATAGACCCTTGCTGTACAAGGGGATATTACATAGACTACCTTAGCACCTATCCTCCTACAATTAATAAGAACAAGTCACAATGCAGTGGGTGTGTGCCAACAAGCGTTTGCCTCAAGAGGCCAAAAGTGTAGTAATTTCTACAAATGAACTTACCTGTACATGGAAGTACATTGGGGAATCTGTTCTTGTTTTTGCAGACAGGTTTCTTGGCTTCCTCACAGTTGACTGCCACTGACATTTCATATAGCACCTACATTTCAAAGTGAACAAATTGACAGACAACACACATTACATTGCTTTTTCTCTCTCTAGCTTGGACTTAATTTACGAATCAAGTTATTTTTGGCTGACTTAATCGTTTGCATATTCATTCTTCAGCAAGTGCATGGACAACATAGCCATACACCAGTATGGCAGAAATATAGAACCGAGTCTGTGACTCGGACTTGAGTTTGACTTGAGTTGCAAATTCTCAGACTTAACTTCAAGTTACAATGGATGATGACTCAAACTCGGCTCTCATGACTCAACTCATGACTCAGACTAGACATCGGGGACATGTCACCGGTGACTCAATGAAACATTTTTGGCAAAACTGTCTGGTAAATACCTTTAGCTATTGCTGATCGAGTGCAAAATTTGGGTAAAATAGAGCCCTTGTATTCTGATACATTCTGCTTTGCAGATATGAAAATGGGAAGATCTGATAAACCTCACTTGAAGTTCTATAGACTTCAGAAATTCATGCAATTTGTTTGAGATTTTTAAATTTGTGAGTTCTCGAAATACCGCTGAGCCAAACTTTTACCTCAGATTCGCCTTGAATTCCTTCACAGGGTCTTACTTGTCTATCTGTTTTTGCAGTGTGGTAATGGTGTTCGGTAGTGACTGACCCAATAAGCATCAAGCTTGGCCGGTCTGTTGAGCGTCATGTGTCATATCTCGGCGTCCCTGACCACGCGGTCTTGGTCCTTCTAGAGGGGATGTTGGTGACAGAACCCCAGGAGCTAGAATCGTCATGGTCATGGGCCTGGGACCTGGGGGAGAAGGGAGGGGGAGAATTTTACTAATAAAATACTGTAAAATACTAAAGAATCTGGGACAGAAAAAAAATGCGACAAGACTACGTCTCAATACCCTTAGGATTTTCAGCCTCCCCCCACACCCCGTTTCACATTCAAACACAAGTAAAGAATCATTTCCATAGCACAAAGAAGCTTCATGTGTTTTGTTAGGTTTTCTTCAATCCTATCACAAACTTATGAATGTCAAACTCATTGTTTGATTTTAATATTTTTAAAAATGTCCTTGTGCAATTCGTCTTATAATTCCTTGTGATAATTTTTTAGTGAAATTTGTTTTTTAAGTTTTTTGGATTGAGAAATTATGCACTTGCTCTTGTGTTTAGTAAGGAACATGATAGTTTTCACCAAGTTGTTTTCTATTACCACACCACAAAAAAATGAATAACTGATACACGGTGAAGTGCAGATATACCGTACACTGCTATACCAAACATTTGGCTATAATGAATATCGCCCTTGAATCCTGATTTTGTGTGTGTGTACAAAACGTACCGAACACCGTTGTTGAAAAATATCAACAGAAGAGCGACAAGTGACTATTATTCTCCAAGGAATAGAAGGGAAAAGCCACCCGTTCCTGTAGGTAGTAAACTCAAAACTGTGTAATTACATAATTCAATAGTTGGCACGTGTTCAAAGTCATCTTTCAGTAACTACCAGGGCATGCAGAGTGAAGTTCTGATGGGCGCTATCTTTTGAAAATGGAGTAGGCCTACAGTAGCACTGGCAGCCTCAAATCGCTGTTCCGAATGATCGCTATTACAAACAATTTCTGTAGATCCCGCGATTTTCGTTATAGCGGCACTCCACTGTAATGATCAATTTCTCAAGTACAAGTATCTTGACAGAGTTTTTTGTGGGCCTCAAGAAACTAGGACGGAAAAAATGTGACAGGACCTTTCTTATGCTATGATTTTAAGCCTCGCCCTTTTTGAGCAACGATAGACTGATTCAAAACCACATCATTGCTGAACATACCTGTTTATCAGTCTGTGATGTGTAGAGGTGGGCGTGGCTCTCCCCAATCTCAGCATTCATCTCAGCAATGGACCAATCAGCCTAGGGAAGGCACAAAATATGAATGAATATTCAAAATTAGTGATGCATGAACTGAACCCCAGTTCCATAGAAGAGAAAGCTTTAGAAATGTGAGTTTTGGAAATTTAAAGCACTGCTGATGCTGAAAAACTGAAAGAAATGACAAGTTTATTGTTATGGTGAAAGCAAGCGTAGTGCTGTTGAATGCTATACATGCATGTAAATTGTCAAACACCAACTGCAGAGTAACTAAAATGTATATAAATATAAAGAAAGTGAGAAAAAAAACACCCCAAAAAAACCAGGTTCCAAAACTAATTACAGTCGGTTCATTGTGTACCTCTTTTTTTATTTGTTTATTTTTGTCTACACAACAGACTTGAGTATCCTGACTGGAGACAAATCAAAGGATATTAAAACAGGTGTCATCTGCAATAACAGTCAGTTTAGGTCTGCATCAGGTAATTGACCCTGTGGCTTCTTTATGTTTACCTTTCTGATAAACCTGTCCATAATCTTGCTAATTACAAGCTCTTAGATATAAAACACAGTCAGCATTCTGTATTTGATTTTACTATGAGCATGTTCCAAAGCTCTACAGAAGTGGAATCTGGGGACTGCAAATATTACCAGTCCAGAACCTTTGGATCCATTTGAGATAAAACACTGCATTTGATTTTACTATGAGCACGTACCAAAGTTCTACGTTATCGGAATTGGGGTCCTGGTACTGCAAATATTACCAGCCCAACACCTTTGGATCCATTAGATATAAAACACTGCATTTGATATTACTATGAGCATGTACCAAAGCACTAAAAAAGAGGGATCTGGGGACTGCAAATGACTGTATTCAAAATCAGGTGACATGGTCTGTGTTGATACAGAGGGGCGTATACATAGATCGCCATCTTTGTTCATTTCAACCAGCATATAAGCCGTTTTAGTGTAAGCGACATCAGAATTGGCACAGCAGTGGCTAATTGTATGAATCCATAAGGTAGGGTTTTAAGTTGGTTTATGTGTAAGTCTGTCTTCACAATGGAACTATTAAGCAAACAATTGATTTACATCGCTAACGACACAAAAATATGTATTGGAAATTAAGGCGGATCTGTAATGTAAAACATGTCAGAATTAATGCTACAGTAGAATATGTGAATTTAGTAATTGTATTCATGACAGAAAAAAACAAGTGACAGCTCCTTGTTTGTACTTAGTTTTACAAAAATAATCTTGATGATTTGGCACAAATGCTCCTTACTGATTAAAACAAATATCAAAACCGATGTAAGGATGAGTTTTCATTTAACAAAATAGTACACCTTTCTTTATCAATGTGGACTTGTTCCGGCAATTAAGTGTACGCTTTAAAATACAGGCAAATTATAAGACCTAAAACATTGTTTTATGTTATGTGAACCGTCTGTTTTAATCCGCTTCATTCAGAGCTGTAGCTATGTCTTCATATTCAAGTCAATCACAAGTCATATTTGTAAGGGCAACTCACAAACTAGTTAAACCATGCCAAAGACATTCTTCGTCACTGAAAACCTGTTACTTGTCATCATATGTGGCACTGACTTGTAATGATTATTACTTCAACTCCCCTTAGGTGTGGAAAATGTCAAATACATGTCACAGCTGAAACAATAATGTTGCATTTTTAGGATAAACTGCTCTATCTTACAATAACAATGTAAACCAAACAAACTGCTATTTTCTTGTGAAAAAAATCAGTAAACATCAGGTTGTATCATGCTTATAGTAGGGGAATAATTTTTCAACCTCCTTAATACTCAACTTGACATAATTGTTTCACTTACATATACATGTAACTAATTAATACAACTATGTGATCATTTAGAGTTTAATTACATGTAATTTCAAAAACATTTACTCAACGTGCTTCATTTGCAGGTTCAAGTTCAGTCTACATGTAGGCCTACACCAATCACATCAATTCAACCAGTGAAGATGGCATCTAATGTTACAGTTCAATCAGTGTTGGAGAAGATTAGTGTGGATCATCTGGAATGCTCCATCTGCACCAACCGTTTCAGGAAGCCCAAACTGCTGGACTGTTTGCATAGTTTTTGCCTGCAATGCCTGCAAGGGCTCAGACAGAGCCAAGATCCTAGTGGTACAAAGCTGACATGTCCTCTGTGCAGACGTGAAACCATGTTGAAAGGGTCTGGGGTTGCTGATCTCCCTAATAACTTTGCATTCAGTGCCCTGATGGAGGAAGTTGCAATGCAGGAAAAGCTACTGGAAGGTCAAGGGTCAGACATCAAATGTCAAAACTGTGATGAGGATAATCGGGCCATTTCGAGATGCATGGACTGTGATAATTTTCTGTGCCCAGAATGTCAAAAGGCTCATGAACGTATGACTTTCATGAAATCTCATAAAATCTACACACTGACTCAACTTCGATCAGGAGAAATTGTCTACAAGAGTAAACTAAGAGATGAAGTTCTAAAATGTGGCAAGCATCCAGATCAGAATCTCAATGTCTACTGCAACTCATGTGAGCAAGTCATATGCACAACTTGCTCGGTTCTTGATCATACAAAACACTCACTTACTGGATTACCTGAGGCAGTAAAAAAATGTAAGAAGAAAGTCGCAGAAATGGTCCAAAAAAGTGAGACTAGAACAACAGAATTGAGCACCACCACAAAAGCAATGTGCCAATCTCAAAAAGAGCTGGACATCATGTTTGCCAACACTCAAAAGAAAATCTCCAAAAAGGCTCAACAGAAGATTACAAAGCTGAAACAGGAGATTGCAAAGATCCAAAAGGAGATTGCAAAAATCCAAAAGGAAGAACAGAAACTGTTACAAGAGACAGACATGATTTATAAAGACAAACTCAAAGCTTTTGAAGCTGTTCAAGCAACCAACAGGAAAGAGGTGACACAGACAGAGCACAAGCTGGAGGAGGTCAAACAACTCATGAATCAAGCAAGTTGCTACGAGATTCTTGAACTTCAGCAGAAGCTCTTGCATAACCTCAGTGAATTGACAGGGAAACAGCCACAGCAAGTTCCTGACAAGTTGACCTTCATGGACTTTGAAGAAGGTGAGAGGTCACTGGGGAAGATCATTCTGGAGGAAGAGCCACAGGCTGCAGCAAAGCAATCACCAAGACCTGGAAGATCGTGTGTGAAGGTGAAATGGGAACTGAAGACTGAATTCAAGAACTTTGAATTAGGAAATACACAGATACGACATGTGTCAGCACTCTCTGACAATAACATAGTATTAACCACTTGGATTAATGCATTATTCACAGTGTCACTGACCAATAGTCAACATACACCATCTCCTATCCCACAAAGGCTACACATCAATGGCCTCACTAATGATGTAAGGTGTATTGCAGTGAGCAAGGATGACAAGCTCCTTGCTCTAGATTGTCCAGTAGTCAAGGTCTTCAACAAGCAACATCAGCTCCTCCATCAGTTCACACCAGGTAGAGGGTCAGACAGCCAACCAACATGCCTTGCAGTGGATGACAGCAATCTGATAGCAGTGGGTTATCAAGGCAAGAAGGAGATATCTCTACACAACCCAGATGGATCCCTCATCAGGAGACTGCCTGCTCCAATGATTGGAGGTTATCTGACAATGTACAATCACCGCCTTATCTACACAAACTATGGCAACCAAAGGTTGGTATGTGTAGACTACTATGGTACCAGTGTATTCTCAGTAGACATGACCAGCAACATGCAGGGGGGTTGGGGCCCTACTGGTGTGTGCTGTGACAGTGATGGCAGCATCTATGTTGCTGTGGATGGATATCAAACAGGTGATGTTCTGCATTACAGTCCTGATGGCAAGTACATTGGATGTGTGATCAAGGGATGTGGTCATCCATATGGCATGACATTCACATCAGGTGGTGATCTGGTAGTGGCTGCAGGACAGTCTGTAAAGGTTTATCACCGAGTGTAAGGACAGATTAATTAAACTGGGGCTATCCAGTGTATCCACCAACCACTTCCATCAGACATTGAACATTGTTATCACTGAAAAAGAACTTGAAAGTACACTCCCTCTAATAACATTCTACAATACTGTATATTTGGTTTATTTCTAAGGTCTTTGCTGTCTGTATACATGTACTTTGGAAAATCTTGGACTTCAACACCAAGCCTACTTCCTTCAAAATCTTAGATCTAGTGGCCCAATAATGAGAGCAAAGGAATGACCCTTCACATTGTTTGCAAATAGGGCAGAGTGTACATTTTAAAAATATTACAAACGAGAAGGAAAGTATTACCATGAGAGGCACTTCAATTTTCTCAGATTCGTCTCAGCAAATGCAAAGTCAATGCATGATGTGTTTTCCAAGTATAAGATATATCCCTGCTCCTGTATGCAATGTAAACATTTTGTTAAATTGTTTTATTGGATTTTTCAATTATTTGGAAAATTGTTGGGATTAAATGAATGCAACTTATTTTCGAATGAGAAAGACTGTGCACCTCTGTGTACACAAGACAAAACTAAATACTCAAAAGCAACCGGATGAAATATGTGTGATTTTGAACTCAAGCGATAGTTTAAAAGTAAATCATATGCAATCCCTTGGTTGTCTCTTTCACAGAGCTTTCCGAGTGCCTCATCAAATTAATGTTAGTTTCATCACATTTACAACCAAGTTGAAATGAAAACCTTGTGCATTCTACTGCAATGATACATGGATGTTTGTAGATGAAGTAAGTATGATGGATGTACATTTGTAAAGTTAAATCTTGGTTGTTGTTTTTTCTTAAATGTGATTTTTTTTAAATTCTACAATTCAAGATGCATTTGGAACATTCCATAACTTTGGGGTCCACTTTTCCCTGTCCCTGTGCGTCTGACATCTAAGATTTTGTAATAGAAGATGCACTCCTTTATGTGTGTACTCTTCCTCCAAGAATGCTTCTGTGAATCAAAAGACCTACCCAACAAATATTAATTAGTTTGAAGTCATTTTTAATTGCAGTGAATGGCAAATGATACATTTGGGACGTGCAGACAGAAAAAATGTCCGACTTTGGACCCTAAATGTATAGAATGACCTACTTGTGAGAGGTTCCGTATCACTACAATAATAGTTTAGTTTATTCCATAAATGATTGAGGCTTTTACTTCTTCGACTAATCATTGATTTGCTACATGCTGATAGACCAAGTAGTTTAAATGAAGCAATGAGCATTTGCTTTAATTACAGAATATCTCTCCAAGAGAACGCAGCTTACATGACAACAATGCCATTTCGACAAAGATCCAAAGTCTGTTATTTTACCAATCAGCATCTGGAACTTTCTAAAGGTACCAGTGGCGCAACTAGGGTTGGAAGGTTTTTGTAAGAAAATACAAGGATAATTTTATTTTTTCATGGGCTTTTGTTTTTTCGAACACTTTGGAATAGTAGTTTCTATTGAAAAGGTATATATGATGGAATGTCATCGGTATTTTCTTGCGTGGAAAAGGTCGAGACACACTCAGATTTACAGTAGTTTAGGGGGAACACTGGGGCATTGAAAACATCTCAATAGTAAACTGTTTATATTGTATATGATTGGCCCAATAGATAGCGGGCAGCTATTGAAAACATACATTTGCACATGTACAAACTCAACTACCCAGAATGTGATCAAGTTGTGCAGTTCTTCTAATACTTTGTAGATTAAATGAGATTAAAAACATTGTTAATTTGTGAAATAAATGTATTATGTACAAGTCGAAGGCAGATTGCATAAACGAAGGTCATTTTTTTCATATCAACATGTTTTGGAAAATATGATTTACCAAACGGATTTACGAATTTTTTAGTTTGAACACATAAACATCACATCCTTAGCATCACATAACATATCGTTACAGCCCATGTGACACAGCCTAATTTGCTAATATAATTCACAACGTAAAAGCATTTTAGATGTTGTGTCTAGGTTTTACTAGATGTGCATGACAACAGGTTTAAGAACAAATGTAGAAGGCGCCTGCTGAATGGTCTCGAGGTCAATTAGACGCAGTCTTGCTTTGCACAATAATCGACGAATCTCTCGGATATCATAGATCCTCGCTGTACAAGGGGATATTACATAGACTACCTTAGCACCCATCCCCCTACAATTGAGAACAATTCACAATGCAGTGGGTGTGTACTGTTAAAAAGCGTTTGTCTCAAGAGGCCACTCTTTAGGCAAAAGTATAGTAATTTCTACAAAATGAACTTACCTGTACATGGAAGTACATTGGGAAATCTGTTCTTGTTTCTGCAGACAGGTTTCATGGCTTCCTCACAGTTGACTGCCACTGACATTTCATATAGCACCTACATTTCAAATTGAACAAATTGACAGACAACACACATTACATTGCATTTTGTCTCTCTAGCTCAGACTTCAATTACGAATCAAGTTATCTCTTGCTGACTGAATCGTTCGCGTATTCATTCTTCAGCAAGTGCATGGACAACATAGCCATACACCAGTATGGTAGAAATATAGCATTGAGTTTGTGACTCCGACTTGAGTTTGATTTGCACTGCAAATTTTCAGACTTAAACTTCAAGTTACAATGGATGATGACTCAAACTCGGCTCTCATGACTCAACTCATGACTCGAGACATGTCACTGGTGAGTCACATTTCACCGACTCAAAGAAAGCTTTTTGGGAAAACTGTCTGGTAAATACATTTATCTATTGCTGATCACGTGCAAAATTTGGTTTGTTGTCGGTAACAATTGGTTGAAATAAAGCCCTTGTATTCTGATAAACTCTGCTTTGCAGATACGAAAATGGGAAAATCTGATAACCTCACTTGAAATTCTATAGACTACAGAAATTCATGCCATTTTGTGGAGACTTTTAAAGCTGTGAGTTCGTAAAATAATCACTGAGCCAAATTTTTACCCCAAATCGCCTTGAATTTCTCCACAGGGTCTTGCTTGTCCATCTGTTTTTGCAGTGTGGTAATGGTGCTCTGTAGTGACTGACCCAATAAGCACCAACCTTAGCCGGTCTGGTGAGCGTCATGTGTCACATCTCGGCGTCGCTGACCACGCAGTCTTGGTCCTTCTAGAGGGGATGTTGGTGTCAGAACCCGAGGAGCTGGAATTATCATCATCGCTTTTGGGGACATGGGCCTGGGCTGGGGGAAAGGATAAAACAAATTTCAAATTACGCTAGTATAATACTTGTAATAATGGTCATCCATGTTTATTTTTGTAAGCATGTTTGCAGAGCATTTATGCAGTGTTCACATGTTTAAACATTTAGCCAACACTATACAAAGGCTGATGCTGATAATGCCAAGGACTCATTTTATAATTTATTATCTCCTGGATCAGAATCTCCTTGTCATTCCTCAGCAGAGTTGTAATGAGTCACTGTTTTTCTGTGACTCGAGTCGAGTCAGTCATTTTCAAGAAGTGAATCGACTGAGTCGAGTCAAGTCATTTTAAAGAAGTGACTTGAGTCCAGTCCAGTTATAGGTCCAAAAGGTTGAGTCGAGTCATTTCAAAAAAGTGAGTCAAGTCGAATTGAGTCATTAGGTCAACAAGGTTCAAGTCGAATCGAGTAGAGTCAAGTCAAATACTTAGCCAATTTAGTCAAGTCAATTTGAGTCACGAATATCTGAACACTATTTACAAAGAAAGACAAGAAAGAAAGTCACTTGTCTCAATAACAGTCTCGAGAACTGAAACTTTGATCCTTTCTAGTTTGGTTTCAGGTCTAGAATATTTTTTGCTGATGGCTGACGTCAAAACCAAATTGCATTATTCAAAACTGTTTCTGATAAGATAAGAATGAAGTTTGCATGGTGAGGATAACAGCAAGGTAATTTGCGGTGGCACCATGCATAATAATCTTTTGTGAGTATGCGGTGGTTCTGAGAAGAACCAGTTTAAACTCAACGTTTTGGCCAGCACACTCAGTCTGTCGTCAGGAGACCCTCCCCCAAAAAACCTGCATTCTGATATGTCTATGGCTGTTTGTTCAGAATGTGATACAACAAACAACTAACAAAGTATGATCACATTCGCAACAAAAGAACATCGCAACAAAAGAACAAATCGCAACAAAAGAAAAAAAAAAATGGCTGCTGCGGTAAGAAAACTTCTTCATGTTCTTGCAAGCAACTGCAGACTTTTATCAATGTGTCTTAAAACCAAAAATCTATGTCGTTAACGCAACATCTCTAATGGTTGTTTACAGCAGTGAATTCAACAACATGACAACCATGCTGAAATGGATCTTCTTGTAATGTTATAGTTGGCTTTGCATTTTATGTTTTCCTGAAATTGTATACAGATATTGTGAAACAGAAAGTGGCTCGATATAGTCACTGACTCGGGGTTTTAATCTAAGGCCTGATTTTCATTGTGGATTTTGTTGGAGATATTTTAATCTCTTTGGGTTTGAAGAGTTTAATTAAATCAAATATGGAATCAAGAATTATTTAATCATTCTGTAGTCCAACCTACTCATTTCTTTTGCCCTTCTGTCAATTGGTTGCTCGTCTTTTGTTGTAAAGGGAAACCATGTTTGAATGAATTTTCAACACGTCACTTCTAATCTTTATGTAAAAATTCTATTTTAGGGCAGCTGCAACCCTCTTTAAAAGGCTTTTCTTTTCAATTTTGTGCACAAACAAATACACAATGCAAGGAGACTCCTTCCTAGCATTTACATTATTGATCGCGATAGGGACAGCTAGGAACCAGTTAAACATACGAGGAGCTAGTCATGGTTTGATGGCAAATCATCCAAAATTTCTGTAATTTTTCCAAAACTGAGTGTTGGGGGAGCAATTTTCTCCATTTGATGTATCATTTAGAAGTGAATAAAAAAAAATCCCCCAAAAAGTTTTGTTTCCTTGGTAAAATCTTTGATTTCAAGGTAAAACTTGAAAAGAGCACTCATTTAGTGATGAGTTTCACAAGATCACTTTCAGACCCTAATCTAACACATGAGCTGAAAGTATTTGACCAAAAAGTTGCAATTCTTAAGAACTGTACTCATGTCAAATCTGCACTTTTTTGAGATATTGTGTGTCCGACTAGACAAGTGATGACATAAAGAAATATCCACACGAAAATAGCCCAACCAGCCTTAATATATGAGCAGTAATCTGATTTGAAGGCTTCTTGCTCTGGGAATTTAAGAAAATTTGATATTTTTTTCCTGACTTATTCCAATTTTGTCTATTGTATTCTTAACTCCCACATTGCCCCCCCCCCAAAAAAAATAACCCTACAAACCTTTGATTTTGCATCTGGAACCCTCCTAGGAAAAGTTTTACTTTGGATTACTTTTGTAGCTCTAATAACAGAAAAATAAAATATACATTCTTCCATGCTATCACGAAACTGAATCACTATTGGGCGACAAACAACTGAAAAATATAATATATAATTAAAAACTAGAGGTTCGCGTTTGTTGTTACAAACGCAGAGTGGTCGGGTAGACAACCATTTCATTAGACATTCTCCAATTAAATTATGAATATGTTTATGTCAGAAAAAAAGGACCAAGAACTTCAACATTTCCAGTACCAATTATTTTGTACAAAAAGAATGCGTCTTTTAAGGTGTGATAAATTTCAGTAAACAGTTGGGTACACGTACAAGTTATTTCCGGTTTGATGGCGTCATCAGTCAAACAGGGAAGGGAAAACACTTGTTTTAT